TGCAAATTGCAATATTTGGAGAAGTAAAAAATTATGCTTAAATTTTTATTTGATATGATGCTTCAAGCAAAAAATAAATACAATGATTTCTATCTTTTATATGATTCTATTATAATTGGAAAGTCTTTGGTCCCTCTCCGCCTACTACTAATTGCTTCTTAGCGATCCATTTTATATCTTTAAAAACTTAAAAAACTCCAATGTAACTTTGACACACACATTTATACCTTAATTTACACTAAACCAATTATGTGATGTCTTGATAGAATAATCATTTCCATAATTGATCTTCTAGCATTAAACTAAATTGATTATGTGCTACATCGACATAATTTTTCTTGGTTTATATCCATTTTTTTCTTCCATAACTTCATTTTATGACAGATTTGATTCCATTATTGTTGTCAAAACTTTTAATCAATTATTTGACATCCTCTTAATCTTTGAAAGGTGATTAAAATAGGTTTCATAATGAAATCACGATAGTTTCCCCCATAATTGTTTAAATATTAATAGTTGTCTAACCTGAGCCAAAAACTACACTATTAGTATCTTCTTTGAGCCACCCTTGCTTTAATTTTTTTTCAATTTATAATATATCTCGTTATTTTATTCATGAGGCTCTAAAACAAATTCTTATGTTATAATTTCTTTGAGTTGCTAAATTGTCCTCCTTTTATATGCCTCTTTACTTTTTTAAACAGAATCTTTCTACTTCTTTTCTAAGCAATAATTTTAGGAAAGTTTACATACATACTACTTAAGTCTTATGCATTTACATATCTAACTCTTAAACTTCAATTTTTTACATTTATCTAACCTTTCCTATTCGTGAAAAGGTATATTTCATTTTTAATTAAATTTTTGTTTGATATGATGCTTCAGGCAAAAAATAAATACAATGATTTCTTGGAAAGTCTTTGGTCCCTCTCCGCCTACTACTAATTGCTTCTTAGCGATCCATTTTATATCTTTAAAAACTTAAAAAACTCCAATGTAACTTTGACACACACATTTATACCTTAATTTACACTAAACCAATTATGTGATGTCTTGATAGAATAATCATTTCCATAATTGATCTTCTAGCATTAAACTAAATTGATTATGTGCTACATCGACAAAATTTTTTTTGGTCTATATCCATTTTTTTCTTCCATATCTTCATTTTATGACATAGATTTGATTCCATTATTGTTGTCAAAACTTTTAATCAATTATTTGACATCCTCTTAATCTTTGAAAGGTGATTAAAGTAGGTTTCATAATGAAATCACGATAGTTTCCCCCATAATTGTTTAAATATTAATAGTTGTCTAACCTGAGCCAAAAACTACACTATTAGTATCTTCTTTGAGCCACCCTTGCTTTAATTTTTTTTCAATTTATAATATATCTCGTTATTTTATTCATGAGGCTCTAAAACAAATTCTTTCTTAAAATTCTTATTTTATAATTTCTTTGAGTTGCTAAATTGTCCTCCTTTTATATGCCTCTTTACTTTTTTAAACAGAATCTTTCTACTTATTTTCTAAGCAATAATTTTTGGAAAGTTTACATACATACTAACTAAGTCTTATGCATTTACATATCTAACTCCTAAACTTCAATTTTTTACATTTATGCTACCTTTCCTATTCGTGAAAAGGTATATTTCATTTTTTAAAAATTTAAAAGAATGATATATATTTTTTTGTGATACGAAAGATTGGGGTGGTATAAATATAAAAAAGAGTTCAGGTGTTAGATATGTAAATACATAGGAATTGGGTGTCATGTATGTAAATGTCCTTATTTTTAACTCACTACAATGATCTGTGCCATTTTTACAGCTTCTAAGCTTGCACCTAAGAAGTGGGGTCTTTCTGGAACCTCTAGGATTATGTTGCTTGCATTTTTAGGTGGCGCCAATCTCCTGATCTCTCAAGGAATAGATATAAGGCCTAATATTGCGGCTGTAATAGGCTTGGCTGCCATGGACGCCATTTTTCTCGGGGGAACCTGTTTTGCACAAATATTATGCTATTGGCCTCCTTACAGAAACCGAGTTCTTGTACATGAGGCAGGGCATGTTCTAACAGGTGAAATAATCATTTACATACATACCACACTATTCTTATGTATTTACATATCTATCACCTAAACATTCAAGTAACATCTCATAAAAAAATACCACCATTACTGTATTTTTAGAAGTGAAATACAACCTTTCATGCATGGATTTATTACACCAAGGTGTCATAAGTGTAGATATCAAACTTTGGGTGTTAGATATGTTAATAGATCAGAATGTGTGGATTTGTTATACCAAGGTGTCATAAGTGTAGATATCAACATTTGGGTGTTAGATATGTTAATAGATCAGAATGTGTGGTAGTCTGTAAATTTTCCTAAATTTGAAATCAATTTTTTTTTTTTAAATTGTGAGTTTAAAGGTCTAATTTGTTTCTATCTTCAAATATTTCAGCCTATCTGATGGGATGCCCTGTGAGAGGGGTAATTTTGGACCCCATTGTAGCAATGCAGATGGGGATTCAAGGGCAGGTAATATATTGTTTATAGATTTTATAATACCCTTTTTGTTTTTTTCTTTGTATTTTTTTGCATTATTATACATTGATATTTGGGAAATTTAGATACAGACCACTCAGTTCTTATATGTTTACATATGTACACCAAAAATTTAATATTTACACTTTTAACACTTGATTTCATAAAATTTTTCTTTTAACAAGACACTGATAGTGGTATTTTTTATGTGATGTTCAATATTTGAGTGATATATATCAAAATATGAATGTTTAGAATTGTGTGTTATGTATGTAAATGCCCCTTATTATTAATACTACGATGTATTACAAGCTATGATAGAAAATCTCATCTTTTTCAATGCTTCTCTGTTATTAATTCTTAATTCCTTCTATTATAAATTATTAACGGGGAAAATGCATTTTACATTTAAAATTTCATATTTTGTTTGGTTCTAATGTAATTGGCAACGATCGGATTTACCTAAAACTTGTGAAAATGTCTGTTGAAAAATAAAAGAAAATTTTATCTCTTCATCGCGACACCCCCCTTATTACGAAGACATAAGAAATGGGTCTCTCATCAATGAAATGTGAAAGAAGAAAAAATCTTTTTTCCCGAAATTTCTACTTAGCCGAACAACTGAAGCAAAACAATTTTTAATTCAATTGCTTAACCTTTTTTTTTTACTTTTTTAGTACATTTACATACATGTCTCCCAAGTCCTATTTTCTTACATGTATACCCCCTAAATTTTATTTTTTTACATTTATGTCACCCAGATCTTTCATATCACATAAAAAATACGACTATTTTAACTTTCAGAAAATGAATTGAAGTTTGGTGTTAGATATGTAAATACAGAAGAATTAAGTGGTTTGCATGTAAATTTTCCTTTTTTGGAAATTTTTTTCTTAGAATTCCTAGGGCTCAAATGGCACCTAATTGTTAAAGGTTTGTTGTAAGACTACCATATAATTATTAAATCTTCACAATCTGACAGGCAGGAACCCAATTTTGGGACGAGAAGTTGGAAAAAGAGCTAGCAGAAGGTCGACTTAGTAGCACTGCTTTTGACAGGTGAAATATTTCAAGGTTGGAAATATAATTATCAGAGTTATGTGCCTCTTTTCCAATTTTTTCACACAGCATGTCACCATTCATCCTAATAACTTTCTCAGGTACAGTATGGTTCTCTTTTCTGGGATTGCCGCCGAAGCTCTCATTTACGGAGCGGCAGAAGGTGGTGAAAATGACGAAAATTTGTTTAGAAGTATTTGTCTTCTCCTCCAACCTCCATTAAGCGTCCCTCAGGTTCGTTCACTTCTTAAGCATTTTTTCCACCAAATCTTATAGAAAGGAACTAGTTGATAGGGCCGTAAATGAAGCAATGCACATGATAGAACAGCTCAAATTTTGCGTGATTAGTTCTTGATCATGTTTGTTCAAATCAATAAATAAATGAATTTGAACACATGTTTAAAACTCAAAGGTTAAATGAACCAAATTAATTTAATTAATTGTAACTTATTTAATTATATATTAAATAGTAACATATTATAAATTATTTGCATTTAAATTTAATGCAATTTTTTCTTATTTTTTATTTCAACAAATTTATTGGTATTTATTTATCTTATTTGATTGCAATAAAACTTACTTACAATTGATATATTATTTTATTTACTTGCATAAATTAGTTACATGCCAATTTAAAATTCATTCAATTGTTTATTTATTTAAATCTGTAAAATCATTTGTTAATAATTTTATATAAAAATTCAAACGCCCATTCAAATTCTTAACTTGTTTACCAGCTTTAGATGAAAAATCATTTACAAATAAAAATTATATTTTTATATCAATAATCAAATGGCCTTTCAAAATTTTAATTTATTCATCTATATAAACAAGACAAAATTAGAAATCATATATGATCACTCAAAATTTTAAGCAAGCCAAATATCAACACATATGTGAAAGCTCAGCCCAAACTCAAACCCAAGCCAAGTCCAATCCATGACACAACCTACTCGCTTCGATTACAACCTTACTAACTGATCTAATATTTTTTATGATTTTTTTTTAAATTAATTAACCAGATGGCAAATCAAGCACGCTGGTCAGTAATGCAGTCCTACAATCTTCTTAAATGGCACAAGAAAGCACATTTATCTGCTGTTAAAGCCCTGCAATCTGGCTGCAGCCTTAGCGTGGTCATCAGGAGGATAGAAGAAGCCATTTCCTCTGCTACTTAACAGAAGTTCTGTAATTGTATGAGATGGAAGCTTGAGATCGGTGAAGGAGATGATGACAGCTTTTTAGAAGTGTCACATGGAAGGAAGGGATATTGTTGAGCAGGAAGATTGATCCCCAATTTAGAGGGTTGGTTTTGTAAATACTATTTCCTAGAGGAGGAACATGGTCAAAGTAAAATTGTTGCTCATTTGGCTTATTCAGTAGTTCCAGTTTGTTGTATGTATGGTTTTAGTGGCATTTACATACACGCCAGGCGATTGCTATGTATTTACGTATCTAACCCGCTGACATTCATATTTGCATGCTTGCTCCTCAAATCTTGGACATCACATCAAAAATATTATTGTCATTATCTTTTGATAAGTGTAAATATTGAATTTTCGGTTTTAGATGTGCAAATATATAAAAATTGTGGGGTATGAATGTAAATTTGTTGTGCTTTTTTTTTTTTAAATATGATCCAAAGTTTCTGCCTTCTTTTTTTTAATTGGAAGATGCACATAAATACTGGATCGTTTCTGTGTATTTATGTATTTAGCATCAAAATTTTGGTTTTTATATTTATAACCTTTTACTTATGATTATAAATGTGTGAATAGTGATATATTTTTTTTTATGTAAATTTGAAGATTGTGGGGAAATATATTATGGATTGCTTTATTTTGCTTAGACATTATTTCTTATTTATTTATTTATTTATCGTTAAAATATTAAAAGGGGGGCTTTATTTATATACTACATATATCTGATTTTTTTTTATTTCTAATATATAAATTCATATTTATTTATATAATGCTTTTACTTTCTTATTAATATCAAAATCTTTAAATTGGGATGAAATAATCCTCATGAAGGATTATTATAAATCAATTTTAAAATAGTTTAAAACTATTTTAATACTTTTATATTTTAGGATTAAAATAGACCCATATAAATAATTGAGGATTATTTTAATCCATATGGACAATATCTTCTCTCTTACAATAATTGAGGATTAAATAATTTGTACAATCTACCTCATATTCTTCCCTTTTACTTGAAATGCATATTTGACCCAACGCATAAAGTCTATTTATTTATTAAAAGAGGTGCTATAATAAGTTTGATGTAGGAAGAGCTCCAACCAATTTTTTATATAAAGAAAGATTGATGATGTAAGATTTTACTTAATGAATAATTTCTTGCATATATGCAACATAATTTTATGTATTTATATATTTAATGCTGATATGAATTTTCATCATTTAACATGAATTTCGTTGCATAATTTTTAGCAAGAAATACTTAAATCTTGATTAAAAGTCATAAAATACTTTGATTTCGTTAAATTGATCCACTTGACGAAGTGGACCCAACGATACCAAAATTGATTTGATATGAGTCAAATCATATCCAGATTAAGTCATTAAATCACCTTTGGAGGCATTTCGAGCATGGTTGGAATATCAAACATGTATTGAATATGGGTTATAGTCAAATCGAGCGTGACGAGTCAAATCCAATGAGCTCGATGTTGCTCAATTATGACATCATTAAAATAATTAAATGACCACTGACTACCATCTAATGAGGAAGTTTCCTCACAGTGGTGTTCGATTAGGGTAGTTTGGATTCATTTCTTATTTTCAATTTAGGCTTTATAAATAGAGTTCTACCCTCATATCGAAAAGGGGACTAGACCATGTGTCAGAGGAAAACTAGAGCCTCGAGATAAGAGAGCTGAAGTTAGGTATTCTGCACAGACGATCCGATGAACATTTCCAACTCGCGCCTCCTATTGACCATTGCTCGTTAGTTGTCGGAAAAATCTGCACATATGCAAAGACCATGACAATGAGTTCTTCTGCGCACAAACGTTATAATTTAAGAAATGATGTAACCTTTTCCCATATGTGGAACATGAAAATGTATATGTAATTACAAACTTATAGTGAAACATTTCAGCTAAGTCATACACTGAGATTTTTTCCCCTTTTGAGTTTTCCACATAAGAACTTCTTGCATCTTTACTAGATGTTTTTTTATTTAAGTGTGTTTTGAATTCTAATATATTGCTATTACTAATAATGTTAAGACAATAATTCATTAGTCTACCACTACAAATATTCTATTACGTATCAAATACCTCAATATTTATTTGTATAACATAAAATCTTTAATATCACATTAAAATATCATTAATATATTTTTTAATTCAGATATATATTTTGATCTAATTATGATATCAAAGCATTATATATAAATATTAAATTTTAGGCATTCCAAATACAAGTTTATAAGAGTTTTGCGATATGTATTTAAATTCGGAAATTTATAAGAGTTGTGCTGGACCCGCCACAGAGCACCGGACATACGTACAAATTTGCCTGCGGAAACCCCTAAACCCTTTCCCCTTTGGAGCTCGCTATGGCGAAATCCGATCACGGCATCCTAAAATCCGTCGAACTTCGCCTCCTTCGATGCACAATCTCCGGTGATCTCCTTCCTTCCTCATGTTCTCCATCGCCCAACCCGGAAAACCGTCTTGATGTTCTAACACATGAACTACTCGGCGCCATTGAATGCGGGGACTACGCGGCGGCACTTTCCTCAGATGCTGCACGGCTTGTTTTCAGCTTCGTGAACTTATGGGATTTCGAAGATTCAACCGCTTCCGCTGCCATGTTCTATGGCGAAGTTGAAAAGAGCATCGACGCCTTTCTCTCTGATGGCGCCGCCGAGGAGCCCTGGCTGCGGGTTCTCGAGGAGGGGTTTGATGCGAACACGGAGCATAGAGTTGCGATGGTGCTTTGCCTTGGAGTTGCAGCCCTTCTAGCTTTCCTGCAGCAGAACGTGACCGGGTGAGTCCGATGGATATTTTCATGTCAAGAGTAATTTTCAGTTTTGTGAATTGCTATAGTAAGTGGCATAGTAAAAGTATCGCAATTTGATTTGTAGTTCTCACATACCAAGTATCGAACTAGTTGAGATTTATTAATAGTGTAGTATAATAATTTAGAGTTGATGTACTTTTGATAGAGCGAGGGATTGTCTTAGCCACCTTCAGTGTGTGTTGATTGTCATTTTAATGTAGAAGCTTGTAATTTCAACTCCATAAAAAATACATGGCATTGAATCTATTAAATTTCTTAAACTTTCAATGAAATATTTGAAGTTGGTTGAATCCATCGTATCATCTTCATTTTATTTTTTATTTTTTGATAATTTGATGCCATGTTCTACTTGGGTGCTTATCAATTTGCAATTCATTATCTTGAATTTCTTGAGAACATCTTTTGAGTAAGATTCTTATCTGATGATGATGCCTCCATAATTTTGTTTTACTTTTATCTCAAGTAACTAGAACATAAGTCTAATATTGTCATATTGAATTATTGCACTGTGATTTATTTGAACTCTTTGCATATGTGTAAATTTTTCCCTATAAAGGTAAGATCATCTACATACAAGCAAAGAAGTTATCTATATTATCATGAATTTTCATAAAGAGGGCTTTAAACAAGGCCATTTTGTTTGAAGTAGTAATCAACCATTGCATTCTTGTTGTGCTGATTTTAGGTCCTATAAAACTTTTTTCTTTCAAATTTATAAACTTTTGCTTCACGGACTCTTTTAAAATATCCCACACGTTGCTCTAGATTGTTTTGCTTACATGCCATCATAAAGCCCATAAACTTATTAATGGACATGGACTTTGGTCGTTTGAATATTTAATAATTATTTAAATGTGTTTAAGTTTGTATTTAAAGAGCATAAAATTTTTCTTATTACTCTAAAATCCTCCAAATGTTCTCCATTATTTCATAGTTGATTAACCACTATCTGCACCTATGAATTAGTTCTCCATGTTCTTTGCCTCCTTTATTTGCAACCTTCAAATTCAATCTAGAATGTTTGAAGTCAAACTTTCTTTATTTTTTTCACACATTTGTATTCCTTTTGAAGTTTGTTTTTGCTTGATATGAAGTAGATGTGCTTAACACCTTATCAGAATTAACTATATGTAATGCTTGGTGTATGAAGAAGAGTCTTCAAAGAGTCCCTGTGGGCCACTGGTATTTTATTTATCATCTGTTGAATTACATGTCTTCAAAACACTTTTCATTAAAGGTCTCATGAACTCAGCCTAGGCCACATAATTTTTATTTTGTCAAATAAATTTTATTTGGATTTTATTACTTAATCAATCACTACTCTCATGCCTTTTCTCCTATTGGTTTTAAGTAGCTCTTTTTCCATGAAGAGACTACTTATCATTGCAGGGACATCTTGCTAATATATCATTGGTAGTACAACAGGTTAACCCAATTCCCAAATATATTGGTATCCAAACATGTCTTCATTTGGATAGTAAAATTCTTTTAGTTATCTTTCGTGAGATGAAATCCTTGTTGGTTCATGCCACTCACCACCTTTTTAACGAATCTTTCTTTGATGCCCATTTTGATTAACATTTTGTGTCAAGGATAGAGGAAGAATCTCTCTAGCTTTTTTTAAAATATTTACCCTTTAATTGGGCTGCACAAAATTACAAGACAAAAGACCTATTTATGTTAGCACATAGTGAGTTCTAAATTCTCGTTAAACACATATTTCAAATATCTCTTACCATTTAAATTGTTCCTCGAACATCTAGAGACTTCCTCGTCAAATTTTATATTAGAATTTTCTAGATGCTCCAAGATAATGACATTAATTTTTGATTTATTTTTCAAATGGAGCAATGCTTGCAAATTCCATGACTATCTTAAGAGTTTATCTAATTTATTTGCTTGAAGTTAGAAAGCATATTTTGAAAAATTGTGCGTTTAGTAGATTTTGTTATTTGGCTGGAAATATTTTGAACTTAAAAAACATATTGAAAATCCCTAATAAATGATGATTTTATTTTAATATTCATAATGAGTGAAAGTTAAATCATTGGTTTCAAAAACATGTTCTCTAGTTTGAAATAGTCAGATGATTCCCATGACGTTTTTTTGAGTTTGGGCTAAAGTAGAATGAAGTAGGCTTTGATACATTGGTGATCAAATCATTTTCAATCCAAAGTTTGTTTATAAGAGAGATCTTTGTATTATTTCACTTAAATATTTTTCACGCATTGTTCTTGCCCAGTGATGCTCTCATGTGCCATAAGAATCATCCATTCCTGTATGAGTCTAGATTGACGAACATTGCATCATTTAAAACAAAATCTTTCTTGGCTATGCTAAAAGACCGAAAGATTCCTAGGAGATACAAACTGTATTGATCACTTTTATCTTTGTCTGATCATTGATTAAGATACTAGTTTTTAGGGATTGCATACCAAAAGGAAATAAATTTTCTTCTAATACATCAGTGGTCAAATTTTTTCTCAAGTCATTAAGTTTTAGGGCCAACCGTTTGTAGTTTCAGGCCAACTTATCTTAACCAATCCAAGTTGACTAAACCTAACGTTCTCGTGAGCTTAAACACTTTGTTTTGCATATATTTCAACTTATTTGCTCTATTAGTTTAGATTTGCCTTTTGTTTTCTTAAATTTAATTTGTATTAGTATTATTATTATGTTCAGTAAGATTGTATTTCTTTTAACCTTGGATTTGATTTGTGTGGTGTTCTATTTCATGCATTAGGCCTGTTGGAAACTTTTCTCCTTTTCCTCTGCTATTCCAACACTTTGGGGAAGATGGGAATGTTGGAAATGGTGGAGAATGGGATTCATGGGCTTGGAGTCAACTTACGTCTGTGGGTTGTGATTTGCTGGGGAAATTTTCCATTTTGCAGGTTTGTGCTTTTAGTTCTGACAATAGAAGTATTTACTATCCCCATCACTTCCCATTGTTTTCTTATTGCTGCTAAAATTTGTTAAGAGGATTGACACTCGTGCTTTACATCTATGTGTCAGGGGTACATGTATTTTTTTTTGCTTTTTCTTATTTATGCTTCACTACTAAATTATGCACGGCATGGCAGCAATTTATTGAAGCTTTTAAAGCCATCCAATCACTTCTTAACTAAAGGTTTAACCAATGCAATCTAATGAAAAGTAATATGGGGTACAACAATCTAAAATCAAAAAATGCTGTAAGATAAGCACAGAGTGAAGAGTTTAAGGACATGGTTGAGACGTTAAGTGTGCTAAACAATATTCATTAAGGCAAAGAATTGAAGAAGAAATCATGGTAAGAAAAAAATATGTTAAGAAACTGAAGTAATGCATAAAGCACAATTTTGCTGCTTTGTGGTGGTTAAAAAAAAAAAAATGTCATTGCTATAGTTCACTTCCAAAAAAAATGTCATTGCTATAGTTCACTTCCACCTCAGAATACAGAGATTAAAAAACAAAGAAAATGAGAACTATTTTACTTACTGGCACTCAAGTCCCTACTGATTAGACTTGAAAGGAATCCATGTTAGAATATTCTATGAGAAGTTTTTTATTTTCCTGTATGCATTGAAGCGTAGAAACAACTTGAGCATCCTTTCTGAGAAAATTTAGTTTGAAGCAAATTCAAGGTGCTCGAATTAGTGGTATATAATGTTGGTTGCTTATAAGAATTTATGCATAGTGTGGCTATTAAAAATTTCTCGATTTAGGACTATTATACATATTAGTAAGGACAGAACAAATGTCTATGATAGACTTGAGGGCCATTTTTGTCTTTTTCTCAAGGGCACATGAAAAAATACTTTAATGCCGCGGCGAGCCTCTTCGCGGTCTTGAAAGTCACATTGTTGATCCTTATGTCCTATAAACTTTTGTTTCTTTTTAGTTTACATCTAGTTTTGCACTTTGCTGGTGTTGATAGCACTTAATAATTAAATAATTTACATTGTTGTAAGATTTGTCTTTGTTTGGTATACATTGGAACATCTTATTAATTGCTTGCTTGCAGTACCTTGAGTATGCAAAGGTAACATTAATGAAGATAAAAGAATTCTGCTCAAATTCGGCCAAGACTACATCTTGGTGGTTATGTAGGCTATTTCTTCTTCAACAAAGAGTTTTGGATGATTTGTCGTCATCATTGTACAATCTTCTGCAAATATTTAAGAATGAAGTCTTATCTCAATTTGGTGAGATGAAGAATGTTGTTGATTATTGGGGTACAATGTTGAATGAAAAAGAAGCTATGACAATAGCATCCATGGGGCAAATAGAAGCAGGGATTCTAGAATATCATTATGGCAGAATTGATTCATCGAGGTATTTTCGTCAGCGCTTTTAATTTTTCTATACTTTTTTAACAAAAAAATAAATTTATTGCTAATGAGGGCGACATTTTACCCATTTTTTGGGAATGTGTGTCATGGCTATCAGCTCAAGCCTAAACTTGTTTCTCTGGATCCAAAATTAAGGCGAACATATAGTAGTTTAATTGTGATTTAATAAATTTCTCCAAATTTTTAGAATTTTCTCCACCCATTGTACTCTCGAGTTATCTTTTTAATAATGGTTTTAACTTTATGATCAAAGTCTCTTCAATTTATCTATATTTTCTTACATAATTGATTAGCAATGTTTAGACCTATCACACATAGAAATCACTTTAGCTTCTAAACCTATTAAATTTTTTTATCAAATTTTTAATAACTAAAAGTAAACATGATAAACTTCCTCTTCTAATTCTAGGCACCCTATTTATCTTCTAAGTTGTCTTTGTTGAGAAAGATGGACAAGCAAAAGTGATTTTTCTCTTATTGCTTATAGTTAATAGATAGATGTCATTATAAGTACACTATTCTAGGGAGAAAAAGAAAAACTAGCCAACACTCAAAAGGGAAGAACATATGCATCTTTACACCTTTGGCTAAATTTGCATTTAGAATCAATGGATCTCCTAATATATTTTTAAACATATTTGAATCCAAAGGGAGTTATTTAGTCCTTCAATGCAGTCATATATCATTTGGGACCTCCTAAGCTTTTGGAACTTTCTTTTTTAGCCATCTAAGACGTCTGCACCATCTCTTAAGTTGGAGTATAAATGGTTTCCTTTTCTAGTTCGAAAAGATTTTAATAAATAATTTGCACTATTAGGTTCCTCGATAAAGAATCTTGCAAGTTTACTTTATAAGGTTTCATAAGGCATGCAAATTAGAATTTTTCTTGCTTCTGTAAAAAATGCCTTTCACTGTTGATATATTTTGTTTTGTAACTTTTGTCATGTTCTATTGATTATGATTGATGTCTATTATTGACTTGTTGTCAGCATAAGGTTTCATGGGATCTTTCACTTAATTCTTAACCATCCATGCTAATTTTTTCGGCTAATTATTTCATAATCTTCTTAGGTCTTTGCTCTGAGTTCAAATTCATATTTACACCTGACCACCTTAATTTTATTTTGTAATTTTCTTTTTTATCAAAATTTCACTTGGAGATGTGCAGTAAGTAGATGTTGATGTTCTATCCACTTTATAAAATGCTTAAAGGACATGTTTGCAGACTTCTAATTTGAGCTCATTATTTCTTTTAAGTAAGTTTTTTTCTTGAATTACCGTTCAAGTAGTGTAGCATCTGATAGGTAGTTTGCAGATGTAGTTCTCTTGGATCATGTATGAATTGACTAATCACTTTTACTGAGTATGCAATATTTGGTTGGGTATGGGCTATACACACACACACACACACATATATATATATATATATATATATATATATGAAAATTTCAACCATTCTCTGAAACATTTCCCTATTAATTGCTGGTTCTTTTGCTTCTCTGAATTTTTGATTTGGCTCAATAGATGTTGCTATAGTTTTGCATCGTAGCTTTCTAAATTCCTTCAATTCATGCGCTACATATCTCAAAAGTGAGATAAAAATGCCCTATTTTGTATAGGAGACTTTAATTCCAAGAAAATGCTTTAATTTCCTGTGCACTTTCTCTTCAATTTTTTCGATCATAAATTGTTCTAGACATTGTTATTCCCCTTTCTCATTTTTGTTACTGATCCAATCAACATGTACAAATATGGTTCTTACTCCCCCAATATATGAATGTTTAATGATGGGAATATATTCTCCTTGAATTTGTAGATATCATGTTCCTTTCATTACCATATCAAACCTCCCAACTCATGCTCTAAGTTATTGCGTTAACTTGTATAATGCTTTATTTATTTTACACTATTTGTTAATTGTTCCAGTTCCTTCAATTCCGAGAAAAGTTCCCATATAAATTTATTGGTTTAGGTCTCCATATGAGAAAGTTTTCATCGCAAAATCTTGTTGAGTTTGCCAATTAAAATGGGCTTCCATATATTATAAAATTCTCATGTTGTTTAGTTTTGTCTTCAAGGCAAAAGTTTTTTGGTAATTAATTCCTTGTTTTTGGGCGGTAACCTTTAACAATCAATTTTTCTTCCAAAATGGCCATTAAGTCTCGTATACAAAGGTAAAATCACATTTACGACCAATTACATACTTCAGTTTAGGTTGATTAACAACCTCCTGTGCATAAATTTTTTTCTTTAATGCATTGATATATTTTTTTGTTGTATTTTTCATTCCTTTCATAATATTGTTCCATATAAAATTTTTGGAATAGTGTAGACTCACATTGTAAGTTCTATTGTGTGTGTATAGAGTTGGTTAAGAGACACATATTGGGATAATGGATACAAAGGTTATTTTGCATAGGATTTGTGATACCAGAGTTTAACCAGCACCGGGAAAAATAAATAGTATTATTGAAATAGGGAATTACAACGATATAATTGAAATAGGAAATAATGACAAACACGACACACAAACTCAACTAGGGTTGTATCCCAAAGGGCTGGTGGTCTTTTATGTAGGTTGGAAGGTTATTAGGTGGACTAGAAGTGGTGGTAGCCAGTCAGAATGGGTAGGATGGAGTGTTAGAGCGTGGCAGCTGCATCAGGGAGGGGTTTATGTGCGGTGGTTGAGGGGTCGACAACAAGTAGGGGCGGTTGGAACGGCTGTGTACTGCAGTAAACAACAAAGGGGGAGGGCGGCAACAAGTAAAGATGACTAGGACAAGAAGACCACAAAACTGGAGATGGTAAGGGGCGGTAGGGAAGGTTGACGGCTGCAGGAAAGAATAAATGAGGGGTTGGAATTAGTGTTGTAAATGAACCGAGCTTGAGTGAGCCCAAGCTTAGCTCGTGTTTGACTCGTTTGAAATTGCTCTTGAATAGTGTGTTCATCTTCGACGTGATTTACATATTTTGTTTGTGTTCAACTTGTATTCGTTTCAAAATTGGCTCGTTTAAATTAATTATAAAAATAGATGTAGGGTTTTGGATTTGAACCTGGACCATTCATATGCAATAGAAGACGTATAATCACTTGACATAAGTTGTGATTTAAACATAGATATAAATATATAATATATTATTATATAAATAATATTTATTTTTTTTATTTCAAGCTAAAACAAGTTTAACACGATCGAACAAAGGGTTGTTTGTGTTTGACTCATTTATAATTCGATCTTAAAAAAATTGTTTGTGTTCAACTCACTTAATTAACGAACAATTTAAACACGAGCTACTTCACAGGCCGAACACGAGCTGTACACGAATAATGAGCTTTTTTGACAGCCCTAGCTGGAATAGAGATTGTAGCAAAGAGGAAGGCCTGGAACACAACGACGATAAAAATGGAAGGTTGTAACAACAATGTCAATGAAGCGGAAGGGCTGGAACAACGACAAATGCGAAGATGGACTGGGATAACAATGACAACAAAAAAGATGGAGAGGAAGGCAATGATGACGACTGGAATTGGAAAAGCAAGTGTGAATAATTATTTGGGGTTGCTGCAACAGTAACAAATGACTTCTATGTGGGAAGGATGCGATGGGGTAGTGGCAAGAAAGTCATCACATTAGGAGCGAGTTACAGCCGGAACACCACTCGATCCTCAGATACAACCCTAAAAGGAAGAAATAGAGACATCAATAGTTGTCCTTAACAAAATTTACAATAAAACTGACCTAGAACACCACAACAACAACCTATATAAACCTAGGGTAACTTAAAACTAGGGCCTGCTCCAGTTGGGCGACAATCCCACATAGAGGAAGGATCGGTCTGTCGTCAGGGCTTCCCTTCTGAATCAGTCGAAGTCTTGCTGTTGTTTTTGCGTCCAGTCCAAGGCCTGAGGTTCCTTGGTCGAATTCGTGCCTGGCGTGATTTTGTGCCCATTCGCGAACACTATCATAGCCTTTGAGGGTTGGGGAGCTTTAACCTCATCTGTCGAAGCTTCTGGCTTCTCATAGTATGATGTCAGGTTGGGCACTTTTAAGGCGGTAGAACTGCTATAACTTCCTCGTATGTCGATCCTGTAGGCGTTGATATTTCAAAGCACATCCCGAAGTTATAAGTATCCATCGTTCTTTGCCACAATGTGAGCTTAAGCTGTATATAGACATGGATTTTCACAAAGTAACTCAAAGCATTGATTTTGTGATTTGTTTCTTCCACTTGTACTCGGCTGGGCGACTTGATAAAAAAATTTGTCTTGAGGACTTAACTCTCGAATGAAATTCGTGGCTTGTTGGATAAATCTCAATAAAAATCACTCAGGCAGGGACCTTTCTCTAGATGGACCTGTATCCCATTGCATGATGTTCTTTCCCACAATGCTCCTAACCGATTTTCAACACCATGATTCATCCCCTTGTCTAGCAATCTATCAATGGGTGCACCGCTAAACTGAATTTAATATCCAAATGACTTCATTTGATCTTTCAGAATTTGCTCAAAAGCTTCTTATTTCTATGATGTTGAATCTCTCTCAGTAGAAGCAACTGGAGAGGTAGGCTATATATTTGAAAATTCTGAAATTCTCTTAGTCGGGATTTCCCCGTGTATGGTGTGGGTTTCTCAACCTCACGACCTTCTTGGACAACCACTTATTTATGTTGGAGGCTCTCTCATGGGATCAACTTGAATGACGTGCATATCTCCCTCGTGAATTGGAAGCCAATATTCCTTCTTTGGGTCCTTCCTACTATAGTGTCAGTGTCAACTATGTCCTCGTTCAATTCTTTAACTACTTCCTGCTCAGTGAAAGAGACCATACTCTAGTTTGGGCAAATTGATGCATTGTGTCCTAAACTGTGGCTCTTGACATACTTCTTGGTTGGGACATATTTGGGAATGATGGTTGGCTCCACATGTTTGCCATTCTGAATTAGTTTCTCAGGTGGGGTTGGCTTGGATTCTCAATTGGGT